CGTGGACTTTATTTTATTTTATTTTACTTTACTTTACTTTTTATTTTATTTTTGGTGATCCGTGGTATGTTCAAGACTTTTCTCCAGCACCACCACTCAAAGGCATCGATTTTTATGTCATCCTTAGTCATTGATAGAAAAGATGTGCAGAAATAGTTGATGATTATATGCAGAAAATATATTTTTAATGCTTTGCAGTGAGAGATGAGTCAGTGAGGGGACAGGATGCTGAGTTTTCTAAGGGCAGTAAGTGTGTGTCCACTGTCTACTTTCCCTCAGCGTTCACCTCACTGCTTCCCAGACTTTGTCTCTGAGGATCATTCTGGCCACACTTTCCTCCAAGAACAGACTTGTTTGTTCTTCTCATTGTCCACTGGACATCCAGCATCCTTGTCCAGTGCCACAGTCCAAAGGCATGGGATCTTCCACACTCTGGAGACACGGGGAATAGTGGGATTTAAAGGGTTGATTTGCCAGCATATTATGCATGTCACCTATGAATAACAGAGGAAAAGAGAGAGAGTCTTTGATTTCTGAAACAGGGATGGGAGCTGTCATACCTCGGCCACGCACAGCAGGTTTTCCCCGTCTGCATCCCACCCACCTCCTCTGTGGAGAGTAGAGCTGTTTGAAGCTGCATTTATTATATTTTAATTTTGAGTCTTTGCTCTTTTTAAGGAATAGATTCTATTTTAAAAAAAAAACAACAAGCTCTTATGCCACCTGGTGACGATCGCAAGAGAGTGGAGAGGGAATGTCGTTGAAGAGGAAAACAGATGTGGTTACCACGATACCACAAGGGGGTGGCTTTCACAAACAGATGTTATTGTTGTTGTTGTTGTGCTGGAGGCTAGAAATCTGAATTTGGGGTGTCAGCTCGAGTGGACCGCTGTCTCTCCCTCTCTGCTTTCTCTCTGTGTCTGTCTTTCTCACTTTTTCTATTTTTCTTTCTCTGTGTGTGTGTGTGTGTGTGTGTGTGTGTGTGTGTGTCTATGTCTGTCTTTCCCTGTCTCTCTGTCTCTTTGTCACTGCTACTCTCTCTCACTCTCTATTTCACCCTCTGTGGTGGTATCTGTCTTTTTCTTTTTCACTCTCTCTGTGTGTATCTCCTCTCTTTGTGTGTCTGTCTGTCTCTCTCCCTCCCTCCCTCCGTCTCTCTCTCTCTCTCCCTCTCCCTCTGTCTCTCTCTCTCTCTCTCCCTCTCCCTCTCTCTCTCACCCTCTCTCTCTGTCTCTCCCTCTCCGTCTCCTTCTCCCTCTCCCTCTCTCTCTAGCCCCCTCCTCTCACCCCCTCTCTCTTTCTCACTCTCCCTCTCTGTTTGTGTGTATCTCTCTCCTTCTGTCACTCCACCCTTCCTCTCTCTCTCTTCCCCCTCCTCAGACCACTTCATCGCTCCCTCTCTTTAGAAAGGTGGTAGGTTCGAATCCCGACTGTGTTCAAACTGATGGTAAAGCTGACCGCCTCGGACTCCCTGTGGGAGGGTTCACCTGTGTCCATGCAGTTGCTGGACAGCACCCTGTGAGATACGAATCATTTCTTCTCAGTCACAAGGCACCCCATCCAGTGTGCCCCTCAGGGGGTCCCCTGGATGTGTCCTCCTCTTCCTTTGCTCCCCCTGCCTGTTTTCCATCCGGCATATCTCACTGCTGGGCAGTTGGTCAGTACTTACAGAGACCCTCTCTGGGGTGTCTGAGTCTATAAATGTCCACCAAGGGAGACTTCCTACCTTCCTCCATCAGGGACATCCAGCCAGTGCCCTTGGGTACAGCAGCTGGGCTGTGAAAAGTGGGTGGAGGCGGTGGGCGTGGTGTCGGCTGGAAAATGAACGGGGGTTTCTATGTCTTCTTACAGTGGAGTTCTTATTCTGTGACCTGGCCTCAATCAGCTCGATCCAGAACTTCGTCCAGCAGTTCCTGGCCAAGGGGCTGCCTCTTCACGTCCTCGTTAACAACGGTGAGTTGAGAAGCCCGTGGGTCCGCGGCTTGGATCAAGCTCCACACACACTCCTCAGAAACCGTATGGGCTGGTTCTAATCTGTCCTATAAGGTCAAAGGAGCCAGAAACAAATGAATGATAGGTAGTTACATTGTTTCTAATGCATTTACCAGTATGTTAGAGACCTGGCTTCCCTCCACAATGTGTGTGCACAGTGACACGCAGAGGCTACTAGAGAGATACTATGTATCTAGACTCTCAGGAGAGGCTACTAGAGAGATACTATGTATCTAGACTCTCAGGAGAGGCTACTAGAGAGATACTATGTATCTAGACTCTCAGAAGCCCTGCTGGCACAGGGGGGACACACTCAGCTGTCACCGCAAGGTCAGGGGTTTGAACCCACCAGCTGCTCCCAGGGAGAAAGCTGAGGCCGTCTGCTTCTGGAAAGATTCACAGCCTCAGAGACCCTATGGGCTAGTTCTAATCTGTCCTACAAGGTCAAAGGAGCCAGAAACAAATGAATAATAGGTGGTTACATTGTAATGCATTTACCAGTATGTTAGAGACCTGGCTTCCCTCCACACTGTGCACAGTGACACACAGAGGCTACTATATTGGCACTATGCATATGGACTCATAGCAAAGGGCCACTTAGTGACCTCAGCAGTGCCTAATGTGTCCCTGTGGACTAGCCAACCCAGAGGTCCCCCTCTCAGCTCACTTGTCCTGTCCCCCCTCCAGCGGGCGTGATGATGGTTCCCCAGAGAACCACGCGGGACGGCTTCGAGGAGCATTTCGGTCTCAACTACCTGGGTCACTTTCTGCTGACCAACCTCCTTCTGGACACACTGAAAGCGTCGGGCCAGCCTGGCCACTGTGCCCGCGTGGTCACCGTGTCCTCGGCCACCCACTACGTCGCCGAGCTGAACCTGGATGACCTGCAGAGCAGGTAGGATTGGCCCCTGCGGACTGGCCGCAGCGTGGTCAGCTGGTGGGGACAGGATGCACCTGGGAGGGGGGTGATGGATGGAGCAGGGCATGTGCTTGTGTGTGTGATGTTGTTTGTTGGGTATGTGATCCTGTATATGTGTATTTCTGTGTGTACAGCATGGGGTATGTGACTTTATATGTGTGTGTCTACGAATGTGTGTTGTATTTATGTGTGTAATATTTATAAGTGTGTTAGATGGATCTTAGGTGAAAGCAGGGAGTACCAGAGGAATGTCTATCTGTGTTTCATTGACTATGCAAAGGCGTTTGACTGTGTGGATCTTAACAAACTGTGGAGGCCCTGAGAAGAATGGGAATCCCAGAACACTTGATCATTCTAATGTGAAACCTGTACTTGGACCAAGAGGCAGTCGTCAGAACAGAGCAAGGAAACACTCCATGGTTCAAAATTGGGAAGGGTGTACACCAGGGATGTGTCCTGTCTCCAT